CTAGCTTCTTAGGTATATTCCTAGAATTGAGATTACTGGATTAAATGGCAGTTCCATTTTTAATTTTTGGAGGAAACTCCACACTGTTTTCCGTAGTGGTTGTACCAACTTGCATTCCTACCAGCAATGAACTAGGGTTCCTTTTTCTCCACATCCTCGCCAGCACTTGTTTGTTGATTTATTTTTATTTTTATTTTTTTAATATATTTTATTGATTTTCCACAGAAAGGAAGGGAGAGGAATAGAGAGCTAGAAATGTCGACGAGAGAGAGACATTGCCAGCTGCCTCCTGCACACCCCCTACTGAGGATGTGCCTGGAACCAATGTGCATGCCCTTGACTGGAATCGAACCTAGGACCTTTCAGTCTGCAGACCGATGCTCTATCCACTGAGCCAAACCAGTTTCGGCTGTTGATTTATTGATGGTAGCCATTCTGGCAGGTATGAGGTGGTACCTCATTATCATTTTAATTTGCATTTCTCTGATAATTAGTGACTTTGAATATTTTTTCATATGTCTCTTGGCCATTTGCATTTCCTCTTTGGTGAAGTGTCTATTTAGGTCCTCTGCCCATCTTGTAATGTTTTTGTTTTGTTTTGTTTTGTTTTGTTTTTTGTCTTCCTTTTGTTGAGTTCCTGGGAATTTATTTTTTTTAAATTACTGCTTCAACTTCATCTGTTGTTATTGGACTATTTGGGTTTTCTGATTCCTCCTGATTCAGTTTTGGAAGATTGTGTTTTCCTGGGAATTTGTTCATTTTGTCCAGGTTGTCCAGCTTGTTGGCGTATAGTTGTTCATAGTATTTTCTTAAAAACCTTTGTATTTCTGTGGTGTTAGTTGTTAATTCACAACTTTCATTTCTGATTTTATTTATTTGGGTTCTTTCTCTTTGTTTCATGATAAGTCTGGCAAGAAGCTCATCAATCTTATCTTTTCAAAGAACCAGGTCTTGGATTTACTTACCTTTGGTATTGTTTTTTTAGTCTCTATGTCACTTATTCTGCTCTGATCTTTATTATTTCCTTCCTTCTGCTTACTCCGGGCTTTTTTTATTGTTCCATTTTTTAATTCCTTTTTTTTTGTTTTTGTTTTTGTTAAATTTCACCTGAGGTGGTTTTTTTCCAGTGATTTTTAGAGAGAGTGGAAGGGAGGGGTAGAGGCAGAGAAAGAGAAACATTGATGTGAAGTTGCCTCCTGCATGTGTTCCAACCAGGACTATGGATTGAACCTATAACCCAGGTATATGCCCTTGACTGGAATCAAACCCAGGACCCTTCAGTCCATGGTCTATCCACTGAGCCAAACCAGCTCTAATTCTTTTTAGTTGTAGTATTAAATAGTTTTATTAGAGCTTTTTCATGTTTTCTTGAGATAGGCCTGTAATGCTATGAACTTCCCTCTCTGGACTGCTTTTGCTTTTTCCAGTAAACTTTGGGGCGTTGTGTTCATTTTCATTTGCTTCCAGGAAGATTTTTATTTCTTGCTTGATATAATTGGTAAAACATTCATTGTTTAATAACCTGCTGATTAGTCTTAGCTGGTTTTGGCTCAGTGAATAGAGTGTTAGCCTGCAGACTGAAGGATCCCAGATTTCATTCTGGTGTAATGGGGTATCTTCCCATTTTTGTTGTTCCTCTAAATTTATTTGTATGTATTTTAAACTCCACCTCCCAGTCTTCATGGACTGGCCTTATGTAGTAAGTGGTGTGGAACCCAGTAGTGAAGTCTCTTAGATCTTGTTCCAGACCAAAGAAAAACTAAGCAATGCTTTTAGAGAAAAGGAGTAACACTGTTTATTTATGCCGGCAGACCCAGAGGAATAACCTCCCAAATCAGAGTAACGTAACATGCAGGGGGATTCTCTTTTATATCTCCCTGCTGTCTTTGTCTCGCAAATATGGATTATGCTTCCGGTCCTTTTTTCGGGCTTTGCAAGAAGGCCCCCAGGTGTTGGGGGTCTCCAGGCCATATTTGATGGTCTGGCCTGACGCCAGCATTAATAACCCTCCTTCCAGGGCAGTGCACTGTTCACAGTTTTATGGCCTCTGTAACAGGTTCTGCAAGACCAGTGTCTGGGAAAGAGGTAGTGACTTAATTATAGGTTATCAAGAATGTACACTGGGCTTGCTGGCATGGATTCAGATTGCTAGCCCCCTTCCCCCTAAATATCAGGATTACATTGGAATTAGTCTTTTAGCCTCCTCATCCTGAGGTGGGTGCTCTAGGAATGTCTCCTGTGTGAGTTTTTTGGGCTCTCCTGTTGTACTTGGGTCTTAAAGGTGGTTGTCCCATTTGTGGATGGAATCTTCGGTCAGGCTGGCTGGCTGGCTTTGTGGCTCAAGCCTGACCACCTTGTGCCAGCTGTTGTGCAGATGCTTACAGAATAGAACAAAACAACAAAACAAAACAAAAACATACACAAGAACCCTAAAACTATAACAAAAGCAACCACAAAAGAAGAGAAAATTAGGAAAGAGAAGAGAGAGCAAGACTGATAGAAGAAAAGAAATAAGAAGAAAATGAAACGTAAGGGCAGAGATGAAATAAAGAAAATAAAATTAAAGGATAGAGGAAGGAAAACACTATACTAGTAAAAGGAAGAAAACAGAAAAGAGAAAGAAAAAATTCAAAAGGGATATAGAGGAGAAAGCAGATAGACTAAAAATACAAAAAGAAAAAGATGAGAAAGTAGAAAAACTAAAGAATAGGGAAGAGAAAAATTAGATATGTGAAATAAAAATAGACTAAAATAATATCAAATCAATAAAGCAGAAAAGTAAGACAAAGGGGAAAAATGGAGTGGTGTTCATCTAACAGAATTTAGTGCCTCCTGGGTACTCCTTTTGGATCCTGTTCTTCTGATGACTGCATCTGACTGTGTGGCCCACCCTTTCTGGGCTTCCAGTGAGGTACTTAGGTGCTAAACACTGTCAGAAACCTTTTAATAGCTTCCCACAATCCACAGTTTGTGTCTGTCTCCGCAGGGGTCCAGCTGCACTGTGAGGCCTGTTTGGTAGCAGCACAGAGATGGGTCAGCAGGGTCAGCAAACCTCCCCAGGTTCCCACTTCTGCCCACCTTTGCCTGCCAGTCAGCGGTCATCGAAATCACTCAGAACCTGTTTCCGAAAGGGCTTTAGTTAGAATCGGGAGTACAGACGCCTGGGTCTCCTGTGATGGGGGATGCTGTTCAGATTTCAGGGAAAGAGGGACGGTGTGTTTCCCCACCCCAGAGCTGCTCCTTTGAGAGTGTCCCAGAATGTTCCTGCCCTCGCCTTCCCTGCCACACAGAAATCCCGTGTGCCGTCCAATGGTATCAGCTGGATACCGGTAGCTTCTTTCAGTTCCTCCCTGTGGGGGAAGCACCAGACAGGGTCCCAGGGTAGCGGGGTGGCCGGCCGCATCCCCAACCCAGTCACTGCGACTGTTCAAACCTGTAGGCTTGGCCTCTGCTGCTGCCTCCTCTGCAAAGGTTGAGGTGCAGGGTCTGGCAGGAAGGACTCCTGTGGGTGGGCAGGAGCTGAATCACCTAAGATGGGTTTTTTCCTTTTCCTCAGCTCTGGCTTCTGGGAGGAGCCAGTGCCTCTCAGGAAAAATGGCCCTTTCGGGTTTGGGAGGGTATTACTGAATGCAGGTTTCCCAGCTGCCACTTTTCCACATTTCCCCCAATGCTTCCCACCCCAGCCTCTCCTTAAGACCTTGAACCTTGAGTCCATGCCTCTCTCCACCAAAGCCTGGAGTAAGTAGCTGCAAATGAAAATCCTGTGCTCTGGGTTCAAAAACAAACAAAACGAAGAAATTAACCAAACCGAACTGAGACTGGCTGGTCTCCCTTGCAGCCAAAAGCCCTGTCGCCTTTCACGGCTGTATGTTACTTGAACACACAGCTCAGGTGACCAGGGAGACTGTATTACTGGGTCCTACAAGACACCTATACATAAGACCTCTCTTCCAGGATTGGGAGATGTAGCAGTTCTACCTAATACATAGGAACAAACACAGAGAGAAAGAGAGAGGAAGAAAAGAAAGAGGTAAAGAGGGAGAGAGAAAAAGAAAGAAATAGGGAAAGAGACAGAGGGAAGGAAGAAGGGAAAGAAGGAAAAAAAGAAATAACAAACATAACATACCATGATGTGAGAGAGAAAGATTGATCAGTTGCCCTGACTGGGGATCAAATATCCAACCGAGATGTGTGCCCTGACCAGGAAGTGAATCCTAGACCTGTTGGTGTGTGGGAGGAAGCTCCAATCAACTGTGAGACACTGGCCAGGTCTGGAATGAATCTTAACGCTATTTTTATTTTTCTAGAATTTATATTCAGCCTCCTTCTAGAAATAACTTTGAAACACCAGCTTAGATTGTACTATATACTAGAGGCCTGGTGCACAACATTTGTGCACTCAGTGCGTGGGGTGTCCCTCAGCCTGGCCTGTGTCCTTCAGCAATCCCTCAGTCCAGCCTGCATCCTTTAGCAGCCTGGGAGCTCCTCAAAGGGAGCGGGCCTGAGCTGTCAGTGGACGTCCTTAGCACTGCCACCGCAGCTGTGCTTGCCAGATGTCAGCCTGGCTTGTGGCTGAGCTGCGTCCCCTGTGGGAATGCACTGACCACCAGGGGGCAGCTCGGGCCCCTGGTGGTCAGTGTGCCTCATAGCGACCCGTTGTTCTGCAATTGGGTCAATTTGATATTACCCTTTTATTTTATAGGATAGGTGAGAAAAGAAAAAAAGATAAAAAACTTTCCTTCCCACATCACTTCAGAGAACTAACTAGTTCATCTTTATAAATCCCAGTGTTGCTCAAAGGGAAATTATTCAGAGAAAGAACCTTTGTGTGTAGGGACAGAGTGGTGTAGTGGAAAACAGCAGAACCTCTATTGAGAGGCACAATAAAGGCTGTTTCCTTGTGCTGCTATTGGCCTGCTTTCTAACTTCTCACTGATTTCTCCAGCTACCTGACTACAACCATAAAAGCTATTTTTTTTTTCTCTCCTTTTTTGTTCCAGGAGATTTTGATGAGTTCACTCACGATAATAATGACAGTATGTTGAAAAGCATAGCAGAAGATCTTCGGAATCTCTTACCTCTAGAAACTATGCTTTCCTCCGAACATCTAGCCCTCCAAAAAGTAAGTACATTATCATTAATTCACTCTTAGTGCTACTTGAGGATTCTCCAGTTCTTCCCTACCTGCATAGTCTCTCCAGACTGATAGTCCTGAATTCTGCTTTAAATAATTTTTTATATAGTGCTTTAACCATGTTCCCGATTCTTTTGAGTCTCCAAGCCCTCTGGCTTCCCAGTATTATTCATTCAACAGATATTTTTGGGGGGATATCTGTTTGCCAAGCAATCAACCTCCTTCCATAATCACAATCCAACAGTAATTGGTCCTGCCTATATAACTGTCCTGATTTTCTCTTCTCTGTTCCAATTCCATCACTTTTATCAATGGTGAAGTTTACTCTTGTTTCCTTCTCCTACTTTTGCATTGTACAGTTTTTGCTTATTCTTCTATTTGTTTATTCTTAGAATTAGTTCTCATTTATCTTCTCAAACAACCCCTAATTCAAGTCCCTTCAAATCCCTACTCCTGTGGGATTACAAATGCTATACATGTTGTTTCCTAAAGCAAAGCTAATGATGATAATCTCTTCTCCCACTGATCTGAAAATAGCAACCCTCCATATGGTTTTTCTAAGCAGAGGAACTAAATCCTGTAAATTTTTAACAGTATTGTGCACATTGTGAACAGTTAGCAAATCTTAGTGAGCATCTGCTCTTTCAAGTGGATTCTTAAAAGAGGAAAATAATGAGTATATTAAAACTGAGAGAAATATCTAATATAGTTGGATATTATTGACAAAACAGTCTTATTCGTATCATGGTATATCACAATACAGAAAAGGAGGAAAAAGTATTCATTGCATGTTAATGATCGACCCACAATTCCATATACTAATATGCTTTTTATTTTATTTATTTAATTTTCCTTTCCTTCTGGTCCTTGTGTATGTTCATACATTTACATACGTATAATATGGATTGTGTGTGTGTGTGTGTGTGTGTGTGTGTGTGTAGTTATAGATATAATTTTGTAGGTTTCCAAGAAGATAGGTTGATACTTTACCATAATCAGGTAGAAGGAATCAAACAAAAAAAATTTTTTGTAGTCACTTGCTGTTACCACTAGTATTAATAAAGGGCCATAATTTGTAACCATGAAGGTTTACTAACATTATTATTTGAACACTTTCCCTCTAAGCAAAGATTACTTGCTAAGAATTTTGATGGGTAAGTCATTGACATGGAAGACTCAGAAGAGTTGGTATTAGTTTCCATTCTGATTCCTCTTCCTAACTACTGTCATTTCTTTGAAGAAATCTCTCTCTGTATCAGTTTCTGTACTTGTAAAATATACTGCTTTGGATGGACAAGATGGTCTCAAAATACTCCTTTCAACTAAAATTGTATATATTTCTCATTGCCATGTTTTGCATAATTATAGGTCAAATAAAAAGTTGTCCACTAACAAAGTGACTCCCATTTGTGTAACTTAATTGAGACTCATTACCTGAATGAGCAGGTGAAATCCATCAAAGAATTGGGTGGCCAGGCGAGATGGGCACTTTTAATCTGGCATGGCGGAGTCATTTTGACAAGCACACCATGGGAGAAAGTGACGAGAGCTCAGCCTTAGACTGGCTTCCCATACTCACAGAGTGATTTCCCTGGTCAACAAAGCAGTACATGCATGTTAGAGTTACCTTTACCTTTTTTTTATGTTCTTTCATTTGTTTCCTTCCTTCAAATAAAGTAAATTGGTACCCTCACACCTCCCAAAAGTATCAGAAATAAAACAAAAGAAGAGCAGAGTTGCTGATGTAAGTGAAACTAGTCTTTCTGTGCCTTGTTGCTGGCAGAATTTTAGCATATAAACCACTGATATTTTGCCTTATCTACATATATAAAAGGCTAATATGCAAAGTGTACCCTTAGGAGTTTGACCGGGAGACTGGGGGTTTGATCACTCGCTATGACCACCAGGGAGCAGCACGAAATGAAGGAAAGTCCTGGCGGGCAGCCGGAAATAAGGTCCGAATCAGCCCTGATTGCCCGCTAGGCAGGCCTAGGGACTCTACCCTCAGGTGACCAGATAGCCCCGCTTTTGGCGGGACAGTCCCAATTTTTAACAATTGGTCCCATGTCCTACGGCATTTTTAAAAAGTCCCGATTTTTTGGAAAGATTCTTTCCAAATATTGGGACTTTTTTTTAAACCGCCAAGGGACGCGGGACCAATTGTTAAAAATCAGGACTGTCCCGGCCAAAAGTGGGACGATTTGATCACCTTACTCTACCCGTGCACGAATTTTGTGCACTGGGCCTCTAGGTTAGCAATAAAGAGAGATTTTTTTGTACTTTGTTTCTTTTGATGTGTTTCTTCTCTCTACCAGATACAGCAGCAGCCAGAACCCACAGTTCATGTGGATGCATTCCTTTATGATGAAGATGTTATTGATTCATTATGTGAGGAAGGAAAAATGAGCAGAAACTACTGTGTGGTGTGTGGCTCATACCAGACAGCACCTTTAGGTCAGTATTCAAATATGCAAACCTGCCAAAGCCTGTTTGGCTCAGTGGTAGAGCGTCAATCTGCGGACTGAAAGGTCCCAGGTTTGGTTCCTGTCAAGGGCATGTACATTGGTTGCGGGCACATCCCCAGTAGGGAGTGTGCAGGAGGCAGCTGGTCGATGTTTCGCTCTCATCGACGTTTCCAGCTCTCTCTCTCCCTTCCTCTCTGTAAAAAAATCAATAAAATATATTTAAAAAAAAAAAAAAAAAGTATGCAAACCTGATGACTGTGTGTGTACTTTTCCTTAAATGTCTTGAGTATACAAATTACTGACAGTCTTTCTATGTTTTCTGAAAGCAAAGGCCAACCCACAGCATAGCAATTACCAATTATTGCAGTTAGGGAGACTAAATAGAAATAGTCTAGGAAGCTAGGCATTTAATGTCTCCCAAGGGGGTATCTCTACTTTTCACAGAAACTGTTTAATCACCAGTGGCTTTGCAGGTCCAGAAACTAATCTTAAGTGACTGAGTACAGGACAACTGACTCATCCCTTCCATATTTAACAGAAATTTGAATATAAACCATATGCTGATTTATTTATAAGAGAAATATAGTTATATTAGTTTAATATAATCAAGGGGACTGAATGTTCTCCCTAAGAAAACATCTACTTGAGAAATACTGGTATTGTTGGATGAACAATATTGTTGAATGAACATGGACTCAGAGGACAATGATGGATAACCTTGAGAAAGAGTTTATTCAGGCCATGATTTTATCTAGTAGAGCATCTTCAGTATAACAGGAAACCAACTCCAGCAACAGGAGTTTTCCTGCATCTCTGCCCCTCAGATGCAGTACCTGAGTCCCAGATAGCAAACTAGACTGACTCCATGCTGCTACAGGGTAGCTCTTCTGTTAATATATTCTTGGTTCAAACTGGATATGATTGTCTAGGCTGTTACTTTAGACATGCTATTTCAATCTCCCCGGTACCTTAGATTTATTGCTTAGAGTGTTCTATTCTTCAGGTATGTTTCATTGTGCTTATATTACTGATCTTAGATAATATCATTCTCAAAAGTTTTCTGTTACCAAATTTGTAAAATGTTTCTAATAAAAATTCATTGTACCTGTGTTATAATTGGGGTTAAACATCCTGATTTACTGGTTTAAGGTTTGTTTATTTACTTATTTAAAATAGCGAGATATAGCAGGTGCCCGGCTAGCTCAGTCGGTAGAGCATGAGACTCTTAAAATAGCGAGATATATATATATATATATATATATATATATATATATATATATATATATTGATTTCAGAGAGGGATAGAGAGATAGAAACATCAATGATGAGAGAGAATCATTGATTAGCTGCCTCTTGCATGCTCCCCACTGGGGATCGAGCCTGCAACCTGGGCATGTGCCCTTGACCGGAATCGAACCTGGGACCCTTTAGCCTGCAGGCCGACGTTCTGTCCACTGAGCCAAACCAGCCAGAGCTAAGGTGTTTTTTTTAGATAGTTCTTTATGGGGTAAAGTCCTTTGGTTTCCATTGGAGGTAGTTGAAACTCTATTAGAAAAGGACTTAAGAACAATAGAGGGAAAACTAAAAAGTGAATTATAACTGTAACAGCATATAAGACCTGATTTTTCAAAATGTATAAAGGAGCTGTGTTCAACAAATAAAAATTTAAAGAATAGAATTCATTTTCCCACAAAATCAAGTTGTAAATAGTGACTGGGTATCCATATCCACCCAGATAACCATATGAATTTGAAAAAGCTATCACGATGTGGGGCTCCCCTTTCCTTTTTGACGGGACACTTATCTAGCTACTAATGATGACTCGCCCAGGGCAGAAGGACTAATGTGGCACAGATGATAGTCAAGGTGAGATCCTAGGGAGATAAGGACTGTGGTGTTCAAAGGCCCCCATTACTTCTGAGTTCTAGTCATACCCTTTATTTTTATCTAGCTGAGTAGGCTGCATGCTTCCATTTTCTTTGCCAAAGTGCATTAGTTATGACCAAAGTTTCTTTCCTTCTAGACCATTTTGTTACATAAAACATAACGTAGTGAGTTTTTGAGTTACCTTGGTTTCAGAATAAAAAGAAAACATACTCAGGCTGTCCCAGATATTTCATTATAGAAATAATGGAGTAAGAAAATGGGTAGGAAGCTAGAAATTATAGCAATTAAAGTGAAATAAGAACGGTTTTGGGAGTATCTTTTTAAAAATATATATTTTATTGATTTCTTTACGGAGATGAAGGGAGAGAGAGAGAGAGAGCTAGAAACATCGAGAGAGAAACGTCAACCAGCTGCCTCCTGCACACCCCCTACTGGGGATGTGCCCACAACCAACGTACATGCCCCTGACCGGAATCGAATCTGGGACCTTTCAGTCTACAGACCGACGCTCTACCACTGAGCCAAACCGGTTTCGGCAGTTTTGGGAGTATTTTAACCTCCTTCCATATTGCCTCCCTTCTGCACTCCAGGGCTGTCACATTACTCACCTCCATAGTGGTCATTCAATTGGTTATCTATTGTCTGTGCAGCAATGTGTGGCATTTCTGTGATTGGCTCTGGGGTAAGGTGAGAAAGCCAGATGGAATGGGAGTTAGGAAGCAGTCTCAACAAACAGCAGGTCATAGGGGAGAAAAGGAAATGAGGGGCACAGGGATAGGGCCAGGCAGCTGAGTAGCGGTTCCCTTAGAGACCTTTTAAAATGTCAGAGACTTTATATTTGTTCTTCTCCAATACAACTCAGAGTGAATGAGTAAGAAACTATCACATTAATTTTTTCTAAATAACGCCTGAATGGCTTTCATTGAGTAAGAAAAAAAAAATATGAAATACTCTACGTAATAAAAGCCTAATATGTAAATTGTCCCCTCGACCTGGAGTTCGACCAGAGGGCGGGGCCCACTGGCCAACCACAGGAAGGGAGGCCCATGCACTAATTTTGTGCACTGGGCCTCTAGTTCTTTATAAATACAGGTGAATGTTTAGAAATACAGAATTGAATTGTCAGTACCCAAGCAAAATTTATTCACTCTGTTCTAATTCTGCAGGATTTATTTCTCATTCCTTCTCTCTCGTGGAATTGAAGTTCATTTACCATCATGTGCTCCCTGATCTTTCGGGAAAGCTCTTGGTTGACGTCGGCTCCAGGCTTGGCTCAGTCCTTTATGGGGTAAAGTCCAGCTTACGGACATACTCAGCATTTGGAAAATACTTTCCTGCTAACAACAGTTTTGCCTGCCACCATCCAAGGTGACAGCTTGGTTTTATTTATTAGAGTTAACAATAATAAAATTAAAGTAATATATTGAGTTTGGAATTTCAAAGGCCAGCTCTCTGATTTCCTTTATTAGTTTGTCTCTATGACACAGATGAAGGAATATCAACAAAACAGAAGCAGTTAACTCTCACATACTTTGCTGCTTTGTAGTCACCTCTGCCCTTTTAACTGTTTTCCTTGTGCTGTGCTAAAATTCTATACTAGCATTTGTAAGAGCTCTTACAAAACTGACAAGTTAAAAAATATATATATATATATATATATATATATATATATATATATATATATATCAAAAAAAAATAAAGAATGAATGATGAGGGCAAGAAGGGAGCATCTCATAGAGTGGTAGAATTGAAGCATATGAAGGAAGTCAAGATCTTGAAGACATCACCAGGCTAATAAGACTCAGGGGACAGACAAAATAGAAATGTAATTGGTAGAACAACAAAACTTAGTGCTGTGGGACTTCCATTCATTTCCTGATGGACCACCACGACCAGCTTTGTAATTTACAGGTTTGAAATAAAAATGTGCGTCTGCTGTTCAACATGCAGGAGGACAAGGGCCATTAAAACAACAACAAAAACAAAACTGACAAGTTTATTTGACCTAAGAAATTGCCCAAGGCCGTAAGCAAGTTACCTAACACCTCTGGGCTTCAAGTTCCTGCCCTGTAAGTGAGCAAACAAAATGATATCCAAGGTCACATCTTACTCCAATTTTCTGTTATCCACAGTTTGAATGTAGACGTTTGTTTCTGAAATATCACTTGAATATGACTTTTTTAAAAACTTAAATTATGAGTATTTTTAATGTTCTTAAATGACTTAATCAAAAAACCGAAATGTGGTTTGTGGCTGTCATTAGCAGACATGTTAAAACATGTGGCCAACAGCAGCAGAGGCTCATGCCAGAACGGGCACTAGCAGTTCCCAGCATCATTGCTGGCCCTAAACAGAACAGTTAACTCTTCGGTGCTTCATTTACTGTTCAGTATTAAAACTTTATTCTGTAACTAGAAAAGATAGCCATAATGGAAAAGTACTAAATTGTCAAGTAGTTTTCTTTGGAGAACATTAGAGATTATGATTGTGTACCATATTTTGTCCACTGTTGTCCATTTGTTTGGTTTTTATTTGTTAAAAAATACAATATATAGCTGAAATATATTTTGAAATATTTGAAATAATTGGCTATGCAAGTGGGTAGCAGTATTAAGTAATTTAAATATATTGTCATTTTTCTTTTTATTAGGTCACCGATTCAGTCAACAAAAAATTTTTAATGCCTACATATGCTCTGTTGGACATATTCTAAAATACATGATGAGCTATAAATACAAATTTGGTTTACACTTAGGTGTTAGTTGATATAAAATAGTATTCAGAATATGACTTGACCTTTCCTTCCAGATATTGTTTTGCTATTGAAACCAAAATAGATACATAACAATATACAGTCAATTCTTGACTATCCTTGTTAACTAATTGGTCATTATTTTGTCAGAGTGCCAGGCTGACTTCCCTAAACCAAACAACATACCTCTGCAACCTTCCTCTGTTGTCAGGCTGCTTGATTTTCCAACTGTGGTCCCCACAGGTTCATTCCTTTCTTGCTTTTCCTGAAGCAACTTCCAAGAAATTACAGAAATAGGGTGTTAAATGGAGAATTTATATAGAATCACTTTTCTCATTTTCATTTCGTTGAGTGCGCAGTTTTATCAGAAAAAGTAAGAAATCAATCTTTTAAAATACAATTACTTTTAAATAATGGAAATTATTAAGTAATGGTAAAGAACTACAATCAAGTCTTGATCAGTAAGTCTTTAAGTTCTTAAAGTTGTAAGTTTCATATAAACTATCTTTACTTTATTGAATTCTATTTTATAAAGTTTGACTTTTTAAAGTAGAAGTAAACCATAATAAAAAGTTAATTCATTTGTATCCTAATATATTCTTATATTTTAGGGTTATCTATACAGTTCAGCATTGCAACTGTATGGAGTAGAATTGAATGGAGACTTTTGCCAATTGCAGGAAATGATCATAAAAAAATACCAGTTCACTGACAGAATAAAGGTACCCTTTCAAATATATATTTTGTTATTCATTGTAAAGCATTGTTTAGGCAATTTCTTCTGCATTGTAGTTGGAAAATCTTTTTTAATCTATTCTTAGTTGCTACTGAATAGAAACAGATTTGAGTTGGCTTAATATTTTAAAACATTAATAAAGGTTAATTATTATCATTATATTTCACTCACATATTTCTCTTCTCCCCAATTTTATTAGGAAGTGGGGTTTTTTCTTAGTTTGCTTCATATCAGCTATAATATTGCTAGTAGCATTTTTGAATCTCAAGATGTTGGTCAGAAGTGTATTTAACTAATCTCTGAATGTATAAAGTAAGCAAACAGGTTAAGTAATGCTCATAGCTCTTTATCTTCTGTTTCGTAAGCTTTCAGGAGGAATTGTGGGCCGCGAGGCTGCAGTGGGCACGTGGGTGGGTCTCGGTCCATCCTCTGTGTCCCTGCCCAGCCCCTCCTGCCATGGCCACCGGTCCCCTGTCTGCTGGCAGCCCTGCTCCCACCACCGCTGCTCCCACCACCGCTGCTCCCATATGCTAATAGTTCTGGCCCCGCTCTCACCTGCTGATGGTGCTGAGTGATTGGGGCTGATGCCAGCAGTGAGTGCGAGTGGGACCAGAAACCGTCAGTGGGTACAAGTGGTGGCTACTGCCCTAATCGCCCCTCAGGAGCAGAGGGAGGTGGGGAAGCCCTCAGAGGCTGATTAAGACCTGCGCTAGACACCTGTTGGAAGGTTCCCATTGTCTTCACTAGCGGAGAGGTGTGGACAAGGAGCCCAGAATGCTGGTGAACCTTGAGTTAGTTGAGACAATGGTAGCTGATGCAATTTCCCATCATGTAAATCCTTACTAATAAGAGTATCTGTTACTGGAATTGCTTGCCTGAAGGCTATTAAGTGTATCTCAAACTGAATAAAAGGATGCCAAGGCCTTGAGCTCAAGTGGAGTCCTTCCTCTTGCGTTGGGCTCCCACCTGGCCCCCCAATTTCCAAATTATTATTTCTTGTCTCTTCTCTGTCATTTGAGTGCACCCCTTCTTCAGAGCTCGAACCCTGAACCACGTGGGATGTGGGCCATCACAGGCACCAGCAGTGGGTGCAAGCAGCAGCTCAAGCACTGGCAGCAGGTGTGAGCCGGGCTGGCATCAGCAGTGGGTATGAGATCTGCTGCCCTGATCTCCCCTCAGGAGCATGGGAAGGTGGAGAAGCCCTGAGGGGCAATCGGGGCCAGCAGCTGCCGCTCACACCCACTGATGGCACCAAGAGATGGGGCTGGTCCCGGGCACCTGATAGCAGATGTGAGCAGCAGCTCCAGCACTGGTAGCAAGTGTGAGCAGGGCTGGCACTGGCAGCAGGTGCAAGCTCCGGGAGGGACTGCGGTGTGCAGGAGCAAAGAATTTTCAATAACCACCAGAGGCTCTCCCCAATGACAGCAAATTTCCCCCGACTTGATCTGGCACCCCCTCCTGAGAAGCAGTTTCTCTCTCTCCCTATTCCTCTCTTTCTAAAATCAATAAAGATGTCCTCAGGTGAGGATTAAAATAATAAAAATGAATAAATGAAATTAAAATTGTTTGCTTTGCTCTTGAGCAAATAAATGTTTCTTCTTGTTATATCACCTGTAGTCTATAAGACTTGATGATTGTGGCCTAAGTTAACTTTGTGAGGTATATAGTTTTTAAATAGTTTTGTTTGCTTTTTTGGACAGATAATATATTCTAGTGTATTTTATATATAAAGCCAGACAGGCCAATTAACATAGTGTATTAACATATTATAATTTATAAATTACTTTTATAGTTTTTATGGTCCTGTTTGATCTGAGTCAGGACAGATATTATTGTATTTTATTTATGAGGACCCTGACTACCTAAGTGTACAAACTTCATTGATGATGAAGCAAGAGTTTGATGACACAACCACTGATATAGTCTCCCCTTACTTGTGGGTTGTTTGTTCCAAGACCCCCACTGGATGCCTGAAATTTTGATAGTACCAAACTCTGTATATAGTGTTTTTTCCTGTACATATATACCTATGATAAAGTTTAATTTATAAATTAGGCACAAGAACTTAATAACAATCCTATATAATAAAAGCCTAATATGCAAATTGTCCCCTGGGGTGGTCGTTCAACTAAGAGACCAGGAGTTTGATCGGTCACTATGATGTGCGCTGACCACCAGGGGGCGGCACAGAACATGGTAGGCATTGGCCACGCGTCGCTGGCAGTGGGTGGCAGCGGAGGTGGTACCATTCCCAATGGGCCCTTATGGGAGCATTACTGCGATGGGATGGTGGAGCAGGTGAGCAAGTGGCACCAGGCCAAGGTGGGTGTGAGTGGAGGCCTAGGTGCTGCCCATGGCCCAGAGGTCAGCTGGGACCTGCCTTCCACACCAGATGCTTGCGCTTCAGTCACCTGCCAAGCCTAGGGACAACACCCATGCTCAAATTTCATGCACTAGTAACTAATAATAAAATAGAACAATTATATTTCAGTAAAAGATATGTGAATGGCATCTCTCTAGTAATTTTTATATTTTTCAGTCCAAACCATCTGTTACTTGCAGTAAATAGCTTGGTGTCACTTGTTTCAGGAATCCCTTGCTGAAGTCTTCGTATATGGTCAATGCTTTCTGACACAACACAGTACTGTCAATAGGAACACATTTTCTGCTATGTCTACTACCTACAAATATAGTGACTTTTCTTTATTAACTAACCACTCAACATGCACTGTAGCCCGTACTTTTTTGCAGTTTGAGATGCAATGCAAAACTAGCATGGATTTGTTTTTCTTCTTCACAATTTCATAGACAGATTTGTCTTTACCCTAGATCTTAGGAACCTCAACATAAAAGTTTTTCCTTTCCTTATTAAGTTGAGAACTTAAACTTTTTCAGAGGAAGCACTTTCTGGCTTCTCATTGTCATATCTGAATTGCTAGCATGACTACTCTTATACTTTGGGGCCATTATTTTTTTCAATTACCAAGAATTGTGCTTGGATAACCTCATTGGCTACGATATGCCCCTGTGCAAAGCTGGGGCCATTATTAATTAAATAAGGGGTTTCTTGAACACAAGCACTGTGATTCACTGGTTAACAGTTGATCTGTAACCAGATCAGCTACTCAGTGACCAGCGGGCGGGTCGCATATGCAGCGTGGATATGCTAGACAGAGTGATGATTCATGTCCGGGCAGGATGGAGTAGGACAGTGTGAGATTTCATCCTGCTATGTACAGTTCACAATTTAAAACTCACTATGAATGATATATTACTTGGATTTTCCATTTAACATTTTCAGACCATGGTTGCCCACTGGTAACTGACCCTGTGGAAAGCAAAAACACGGAAAAGGCGGTACCACTGTAGTGGAAAAAAGCTCTGAACTGGGAGTAAAAAGAGCAAACTTATGAATATGTAAATAATTATATCTAAACAAATAAATTTTCACAAGTTTATCATTCTTATTAGATATTATCTCCCTTAAGTGAAAGATGCCATTCATATATCTTTTACTGAAATATAATTGTAATATTAAATATACTGTACTTTCTACCATTTTAAGAATTAGGGTGAACTTCACATATTACTTCACAACATTATTGACCAATATATAGTTCTGTGATTGTATGCTATGGTATGTTTGTTCTCTTAAATGAACTCATTCTTATTTAGGTGCTTCATGCAGACATCTGTACCCAGGATTCACTTCTGCAAAATGCTGATGTTGTTATAATGAATAATGTCTTCGAATATTTTCTTGATGAGGCAGAACAGGCCAGGTATGTTATTTATTCAGACAAGAAGTCTGTTGTTATCCAGCAAAGTATGAAAAGGGATTGGTAAAGTAGAAGTGTTTTCATATTAAACTTTTTAAAAATGACCTCAACTGTTAGATTATATTAAAAAGGAAATATGTTCTGTATAAAATAAAAATAAACTGTCTAACTTTGTAAAGTATTGCATCTCATTTTATGCAGGTATGAAATTTTATGACCCAAGTATTTGCTTAGCCATCAGGGATGAAATAAGATATCACTTCCTAATGGGTCTTTACACAGAAAAAGTTGTTGTTTGGCTTTTAAAAAAATATGTCATGATGCTATCCTATCATAAAATGAATGGGAGTTAACTAGTGAATATAAAACGAGATATAAGAGTACTAACCAAAATTTTGATTATCAAACTTGAAAAATGTTTTCAAAGGATAATAAATAGAAGTTTATTTCAATATTCAAGCAATAGAAAAATTAGCAATCCTGCAATCACTTTTCTGCCACAATTTTTTGATTTTAGAGAAGAAGGGAAAGGAGAGAGAAGTAGAAACATCAATGATGAGAGAGAATCATTGATCAGCTGCCTTCTGCATGCCCCCTACTGGGGATCAAGACCGCCACCCAGGCATGTGCCCTTGGCCGAAATTGAACCTGGGACCCGCAGGCAGCTGCTCTGTCCATTGAGCCAAAGCAGCTAGGGCCTCTGCCACAATTTAATGCTTTGTGATCCATAAGGACCTATAGATTCCTCTGATTAGAAAATTTCTCTAGTCTGTAGTCTGAGACACTGACTTTATGGCTAAGAGGGCTTGCTGACTTCTTATTTATACTTTAGATACAGAAAAGCTCCTTTCCAGTGGTATGAAAGGGAATTACATAAATGTTTGAATTACCTGAGAGAAATAAAAGTGCATATAATAGAGACCATAAAGTTAATAATGAGTGGAATTCTGAATGGTTAAACTTATTTATTCTGTCCCTGACCAACTCACTCTCTCTCTCTCTCTCTCTCTCACACACACACACCACACACACACACACACACACACACATGCACATCCATAGCCATTACTAGTAGATTAAGGTCACTACAAAATTAATAGTTTAAGTAGTTTAAAAAGAAACTGCTTCGCCGAAGCTGGTTTGGCTCAATGGATAGAGCGTCGGCTTGGGGACTGAAGGGTCCCGGGTTCGATTCCAGTCAGGGGCATGTACCTTGGTTGCGGGCATATCCCCAGTGGGGGGTGTGCAAGAGGCAGCTGATCGATGACACTCTCTCATCGATGTTTCTAGCTCTCTGTCCCTCTCTCTTCCTCTCTGTACAAAATCAATAAAATATATTTAAAAAAAATAAATAAATAAAAAGAAACTGCTTCAACAGAAAGCTAATCATATGATCAAACTTCAGCCAGAATGAGGGGTAATTTTTTTGGTCACAGACTAAAGACCAGAAACACAATATGTGCAAAGTTATTTTAATTATAATGCCCTTAATTTCCAGTAGACAAAGTATGATTAGCTATTTATCTTTTTAAAAAAATATATTTTATTGATTTTTTACAGAGAGGAAGGGAGAGGGATAGAGAGTTAAAAAGAAACATCAATCTGCTGCCTCCCATACACCCTCTACTAGGGATGTGCCCACAACCAAGGTACATGCCCTTGACTGGAATCGAACCTGGGACCCTTTAGTCCAAAGGCCGATGCTTTATCCACTGAGCCAAACCGGTTAGGGCAAGCGTTTTATCTTTTTAAATTGATCAGTAGTCAAAACATTACATAATTGTTGGAAAGTGAAATATTACCAGGTTTATGTTGTATAAGAAGTTTTAAAACACCCTAAACTCTTTGGAGATTTATTATATAAAGATTTTGAATGCTGAGGAATGATGAAAGCTACTGCCGAACTTGATACTGGAAATACTGCATATTTGCATTATTTTCAAAACTCTCTTGGTGCATTTATTCACACGCTCTACATGATTCACTAAGTAGATATTGGCACCTGGTTAGTTCAGTTGTTTTTCCCGAATTAGTCTAGCACAGTGAATTCTAAATCTAGCTGGGTTTTATGACTCTCCTAGTTAATTATCTTATCTTCATCTTGAATGACAGTTCCCAGAAGAAAGGTTAGAAGATATGGTGAATCATTCTGATATTGGAATTGTTCTGACAAAACTGATCATTTACTCATTAATTCTATATTGTAGTAAGTAAAAGAGAATAGATGGCACAAAAGTAATTCATATAGCCTCCAGAGACTTTTAATCTTAATCAACATCTGAGGACAAGTGGAATGGTACCGCTGCTATAGGAGTTAGTGCGTAAAAGAAAACAGAAATATGTCATAATAATAGAAATGTGTCTTCAGGAAAGCTCAGGCTTTAGAATAAGTTAGATCTCATTACAGAGTAACACCCAGATTGTAAAGTAAGTATTGGTTTAAAAAGAGCCTGTAGCCCTGGCTGGCTCAGGTGATTGTTGTCCTATAACTGGTGAGAGTGTACACCTCTGAGAAGCTGGTCTGTGCTTCTCTCTCACATCGATTGTTTCTTTGTCTTTCCCTTTCTTTCTAAAATCAATAAAAATGTTTTAATAAATAAAATAAAATAAAGGTGCTCCTATGCTTTTAGTAGGTGAGACAGATATAACTACTACCATGACAGCTTATCAGAAATATTAAGTGCTATTTTGAGAGTCATGCCCAGTATACTTAGCTTCTTCATTCTTATCAAATAAACTTATAAAATGTCATTTTTAAGGAACCGCTGGAAAAAACACACAAAGCTCTAGCCCAACCATGGTGATATTTATTATCAAACACTGCTACATGATTTTAGATCTAGCCTGAGAAAAAAACATTTGTATCATTTTATCTATTTAACTCCAGAATGTACTAAACTTCATATCCATTGCTGTAACTGAAATAAGGGCAAATGACTCAGCTGCTCACCCGCCCCCTTGCAAGGGATGCACATCTCTGCTTTGCCTGACATCGGTCCCTAGTAGTGGGATGTACTTTCAAGATTCAGCGTAGAAACCCAGTTCATGTCTGCACTGAAGATAAATCAGTCCTGATCAGACACTGCCCTCTGACACACACCATGGCACATGGCTTTCCATCATGCTTTACACCTGGCTGGTCCCACTAAACTCGGGTGCCATATTATCCAGAAGTCTTTGCATTGAATATTTATGGCAACCAAATAAAGTATGATTTCACTTTTGATTTAGTGTTAGTTTGTGTGTGTTTTTTTATTTTTTTATTTTATTTTATTATTATTTTTTTAATATATTTTATTGATTTTGTACAGAGAGGAAGGGAGAGAGATAGAGAGTTAGAAACATCGATGAGAGAGAGTCATCAATCAGCTGCCTCTTGCACACCCCCTACTGGGGATATGCCCGCAACCAAGGTACATGCCCTTGACTGGAATCGAACCCGGGACCTTTCAGTCCCCAAGCCGACGCTCTATCCACTGAGCCGAACCGGTTTTGGCCTGTGGTGTTTTTTTAATGTATTTTATTAATTTTTTACAGAGAGGAAGAGAGAGGGATAGAGAGTTAGAAAAATTGATGAGAGAGAATCTTCGATCAGCTGCCTCCTGCACACTCCCCACTGGGAATGTGCCCACAACCAAGGTACAATATATGTCCTTGACTGGAATCAAACCTGAGACCTTTCAGTCCGCAGGCCAACACTGTATCCACTGAGCCAAACCGCTTTCAGCTAGTGTTAGTTTTTGCTTGGTGTTTGGTTCTACCTCTCAGCGCAGTTCCCTTAGCAGAACCATCTTTTGTTTCATACTTTGTAAGAAATTTAAGAGCCACTAACTGATGCAGCTTTAACTTCTGAATTGGTTCTGAAATTGAGTTTTGGCCTCACTCACAATGCCTTGTAATAGCTTAAATCACATAGCTCGATCTCCTTAAATCTTCTCAACTGTAACTTCACAATTTTCCCAGCACCTCTTCAGGAACTGAAGAATTGACCAATTTCTAGTATGTTGCTGCAGTCCTGTTTTCTGCAAGCAAACATTTTTGCTCATTTGAGATACCACTTGTGCTGCATTTCCTTTTGTCATCGGCATTTTAAAAAAAATTTCCAGTGTTTGGTAAAACCTGACATAATGCTTTTAATGTGTTACAGAGCCTGGGAATGTATCAGCCATAACGTAAGGAAGCAAGGCTCATTATTGGTGACAGTGCCAAGCCTTGAAGAGTCTCTCTCAGGTCTTCAGGTATGTAAGCCTTCCTCCCATTTTTATTGTCAAAACTTGTCTTCTACTTTTTCTGATAGCTGTTAACAATATTCTAGAAATGTTCTGTCTAAATATAGTGACAGGTGATAGGAAGAATAGCAAGAATTTATGGTTTGTAGTTGATTAACTGGCCTCAAGAGCCCTCAAGTTGCCATTCACATCTTGATACGACCTCCTTTGCTTCTCCACCCAATTTTCCCAGCTGTGGCATTATAGTTTTAGGATAACAAATGCTATTAAATGTTTGTTACGAGGCTTTAAACACCCACATCATAACTTTTTCCTTAGAACAAAAGGAACAGTTATCCAAGGTTATAGAATCAAATAGACTGGAGGCAGCTCAGTTTAGCCTCTAAGTCAGTTTGAAATCTTACACAAACCTCTCTTGCTCAGTCAGATTTTTCGTATAAAATAAAGCTGACATTTAATAATATGATTCAGCCCAATATATTGATCTCTATACAAAGGTTAATTAGTGTTTGTAAAGCTCTTTGAGATCCAAATGAAAAATAGTGTTTCTTAATAAATACAGTTTTATTCTTTTCTTTGGTCGTGCTTTCCTTATATATAAGCAGTGCCAAATTTAAGTATCTGTTGTTTTTTCCTTTAAAAAAATCTAAATAATCACCAATAATATCTTTTAAATTTTTTTGGTCAATCATCTAAATTACAAAAGTAATTCATGTTTGCCGTAATGGGGAAAGGAATCCATAGATACGTGAGGAGATGTTAGTCTCTGGTTTCCCCAACTCAACTCTTCCCCATGAGATCCTGCCTCCTGAGGGTGATCTTACCATCCTTTTCCATACTCATAGAAGCATGCTTTTAATTTTAGTATTTTTTATTGATTTTGAGAGAGAGAAAAATAAAATGAGAGAGAAACATCGATTGACTGCCTCCCGCACACATCCCAACCAGGGATTGAACCCACAACCTAGGCATGTGCCTTGACCAGGAATCCAACCTGTAACTTTCGGTGTATGGGTCAGTGCTCCAGCCAACTGAGCCACACCGGCCAGAGCAAAAACAAACCTTTTAAAATATGTGGTCTCCTGTTTGTAATTTCTACATATATTGAAATAATTCAGTTATTTTACCAAAATAACAACTTTTACACTAAATACATAAATCTGTCTAGACAACCATTGGAAATTACAAGAGCCCTTGTATATAAATTCTTGAATAATTTTATTGCTCTCATATTTAATGAAACTTCTTTAGACAGATTATTGGCTCCAGAATTTCTTTGTCATAGAAACTCATGTTTTCAATGTAAAGGGAAGGGCCTTATGGAAGGAGATCAGTCCTACTTACACAATCCCTTAGCAACAACACTGTTTACATGAGCAGTTTTCTGTGTATTCCCATTGTTTCAGAATTTTGTTTAAATGTAATGATGATTAAATTATGTACATTAAAACAATTACTATTTTCTTTATTCTTTAAAATTTCAAAATCTCAAAGTTAATTAAATTCCTGAATCCATAGACCATTTCGTACAACAAAAACTGTTCATATGAATAAGAAAAAGAAAAGAATTGTCCATGTAGCACAATGTAGATCTTAATCCTGCTCATTGTAATAAAAATCTGTTGTGTTGCCTGGCTAGTATGGCTCAGGGGTTGAGCCAGGAGGTCACGGTTCGATTCCTGGTCAGGGCACATGCCTGGTTGCAGGCTTAATCCACAGTGGGGGGCATGCAGGAAGCAGCCGATCAGTGATTCTCTCTGACATTGATGTTTCTCTATCTTCCTCTTTGAAATCAATAAAAAAAAATACTTAAAAAAAATCTTTTGTGTTTAGTAACTTAGTCATGATTTCTTTTAGAAAATAGGATTATTCTGTAATTTTCCTGTTTGTTTATAATCTTTTTTTTTTTCCAGGTTAGTATACAGTTATCTTCCTGGGTTGAAGAGATACCACTGAACTATAATGTATATCCAGAAAAGGATACTAACAGGGAAGCTTTTGAACAAATACATTTGTATAAGATTCTCTAGCACTAAAATAGTCCTATCACAGTATAATGGTTTTTGAGTATATTACAAAATAACGAAAAGAAACGTAACCCCAATACCCTAACACATATTTTTGTGTATATTCCTTTCTAGTCTTTGTACATATGTTCACATATTTATAAATAGTTGCATTTGTATATTTGCAACTTTGATTTGTGTGATAATTTAATAAAAATACTTATCTGGAATTTTTTTTGTTTTCCTATAGTTTCTTTTATTCTGTTACTAATATAAATATGTCTTACTTTAGTCACTAACTCTGTATACCAAGTCTAGATATAGAGGGGGGAAAAGATTAGTAGTAGTTTCTATTAAGAGAAGTGTGAAGAGTAAGATAAGTTACATTGTATTCTAATTATTAAATCTCTGTTCTGTCAGATTCCTCATATACAGTTTTATCTGAAGAGTCTAGCATAGTTGCTAGGGAATTGAACCCAGGACCCTTCAGTCTGTAGACTGATGCTCTATCCACTACCCTCGTACTAATGAGAACGTAGAATTAGGCGCAGCTAAGCACGGTGCAGTGCATATCCCCACCAAACTCCGGCGCAACGCGTACCCCCACCAAACTCTTCCCGTACCCCTGGGGTACGCGTACCACACTTTGGGAAACACTGCGTAAGCCAAACAGGCTAGGGCCAACCTTTGCTCTTTTGGATACACCTTCCCCTTCTCCTCCTGCTGCTTCTACTTATCAGCTGAACCTAACTGACACTTGTGTTCGGGTGCTCTGGGATGAACACGGAATTTCACTGAGTGTCAACCACGAACCAGGAGGTCACAGCTCAATTCCTAGGCAGGGCAAATGCTCAGATTTCGGGCTCAATCCACAGAAGGAAGTGTGCAGGAGGCAGTTGATTGATAATTCTCTCTCATCACTGATGTTTCCATCTCTCTGTCACTTTCTCTCTCTGAAATCAATAAAAACATTAACACCAACAAAAACTCGAACACTTAACTAGTTCTAGTAATCTCATATTTAGTATTCTACTTAAATTATTTTTTAAAAATTAAACTAACACACTGCCCAGACAGCAATGTAGCTTCACACTTTTATAAACTTGCACTGAAACACTGCAAAATGTACGTCGTACCTATGACTCTTAAGTTTATACTGCGTGATACAAGTTATTTTCCCAAAGTACAAGACACGGGGGCTCATGATTCTGGCAGATATTTTCAATGTTTAAAAAGCATGAAAAATAAATAAAAAAGCAAGTAAAAAAAATTAAACTAACACATATTTTGTAATTGTAGAACCTTTGGAGATCTAGCTGTTGAAAGGACTTGTTGATGTGTTTTTTAAAATTATCTGCCAATGAAAAAGAATTTGCAATAGCAGTCAGTTTTAACTTTCAAAAGAAAGTTATTGGTCAATAGCTAAACCAAATGCTAAAAATAAAAATAGATGTTTGGAACTTTACTGTTGATATTAATAAATTGAATATTTAGGGTTGGATAATAGTTAATATCAGAATAAATGCTGGAATTCCAATAATTTCTTATTCATACAGGCATTCTAACTCATTAAACTTAAATAATGTTTATAATTTATTGGTTTGAGAGAGAGGAGGGAAGAGAGAGAGAGAGAAGAAAAAACGTCGATATGTTGCTCCACTTATCTATGCATTCATTGGTTGATTCTTATATGTGCCCTGATTGGGGATCAAACCCACAACTTTGGCGTATCAGGATAAAATTAAAACCAACCATGCTAGTCACCCAAAAGTTGTTAGGAAGTGACTAACAACTTCTGGCATCTCTCAGTAATAATTGATGGATGTTTCTTGGAAGTTATGCAGATTTTGGGAAAAAATTTCCGGAAAAGGAGAAAAATTACAAGTATTCATAAATAGCTTCTAGCTGTTAGTTATGTGATTACCGTATTTTTCGGACCATAAGACGCACTTTTTTTCCCCCAGAAGTGGGGGGGAAAAGTCGCTGCGTCTTCTGGTCCAAATATAGCCTACACATATACTTTAAAAAAAAAGTTTTTTTACTTGCCCGGCTCTGTGTGGTCTCTGTGCTTGCCCGGCTCTAAAATGGTTCTAAATGCTGCTGTTTACTTTACAGGGTTGATTACATGTGTTTATGACTGTGATGTTGGGTTTTAATGCACATAAAATATTTTAGGACACTATTTGTTTCAGAATCTTTTTTTTCTTCATTTCCCTTCTCTAAAAACTGGTGCATCTTATGGTCCGGAGCGTCTTATGGTCCGAAAAATACGGTATTTTATACATAACTAGAGGCCCTGTGCACAGATTCATGCACTGGTGGGGGTCCCTTGGCCTGGCCTGCAGGGATTGGGCCAAAACTAGTCCTCCAACATCCCACCAAGGGTTTCAGATTGTGAGAGGGTGCAGGCCAGGCCGAGGGACACCACTGGTGCACGACTGGGGCCAGGGAGGGACTGCAGGAGGGCTCCAAGGCATGTCCAGTTCCCCTCGCCCAATTCTGATTGGTCACACTTTAGCAGCAAGCTAACCTACTGGTCAGAGCATCTGCCCCCTGATGGTCAGTGTGCGTCATAGCAACTGGTCAAAAGGTCAGACATTTAGCATATTAGGCTTTTATTATATGGGATTAAATGTATTGGTTTATTGTGATAACATATTCAGACACCTAAAGTTCACATACAACAAACAATACTAACTGTAGCAAATAGAGCATTACATAAAATACATATTCATCCATGAAAAAAATGAGTTTATTAGCAATATGGCACATGATTACAAGCATGTAACAGTTACTGAACTTCACTTTATGCTTTACCTATTCTTAAGAAAGTATTTCCTAAACTCTAAATCCCAATTGCCCTAGTGTTTATTTAAATGTTTCTCAGAAGCATAGACCTCTAAAGCAAAGTATGCTGCTATGGCTCTTAGGGAATGCCAGAATTCCCATTCTAGGTATTGATAGAATGCCCTGGGCAGGCCAGAGAGTAGAGAACAGAAGCAATACTCAGGACCCTGAGAGAATAAACCTATTTGTAAATCGAATCATTCAGCCCCTCATCTGTAAAACAAAATAAGAATTTACCCGTCAGTGGAATACAGTAAAAATATAGATTATTAGTGTTTACCATAGATATGTGATTAAAATTACAGAAATAATGTGCAATTGTTTAAATCACATGTCACTGCTGTGATTATTTTATTTTATCTTTTTATTATTTTTTTTAAATCAATCTTTATTGTTCATATTGTTACAAAGGTTCCTCATTTACCCCTCCACCAGGTTCCCACCCCACCCTCCGCCCCTCCCCATCCCCCATTGTCCTCATCCATAGGTGCACAGTTTATGTTCAGTCTTCCTCCCTCCCTTTCCCCTATAGTAAATCCCTTTTCAGATAGTAAATCAGTTACTTAGCATTTTCTCATATCAATAATACCTCCACATGCCCAATGATACACTTCACACAAAAAACATTTCCAAATAGGTCAACCAGCCTCATCCAGGCCCCACCCAAGGCACTCACAGATCAACACCTCAGCGCTATGCTAACTCAACACATCCAGATCTAAGCCTTCATCACTTGATTCAGCAGACCCTCAAGTTCCCGCAAAAGTTTCCAGCCATGTCTGAGAGGCAGCCTTGGGGCGGGGGCAGGCGAGGAGCAAGCTGTTCCGGGTCTGGCTGCTCCGGGCCTGGCCTCTCTTGCTCTGGTCCGTTCCACAACCAGCTGCTCCGGGTCTGGCCACTGCCGCTCCCGACCTGGTTGTTCTGGGCTTGGCTGTTGCTGCTCCAGGCCCGGCCGCTCCCAGCCTGGCCACTCCCAGCCTGGCAGCCGCTGCTCCAGGCCTGGCCACACCTGACCTGGCTGCTCTGGGCCCAGCTGTTCCGGGCCCGGCCGCTCCCACACTGCTGTGATTTTAGACATGTCAAAATGAGCTGTGGATCTTTAGTTAATGGAGTGGCAAAAAGGTATAAGTAGATTAAAATATTGGAAAATATTTTGTGTGAACTTGTATATACTAACATTTTTAAATAAATGCCCGAGGCAAATATTAGAACAATAGTATATTTAGGAGATATCCCTATACCAGTATTAATGTTCTGCAAGTTAAAGTTGTTTAACTGTATATTTTAATGTCTATATATTTGTCTAGAGACAATTACTGTAGTTATAAAAGCTAGTTTCTGCCAGGCCAGCATGGCTCAGTGATTGAGTGTCAAACTATGAACCAGGTCACAGTTTAATTCCTGGTCAAGCACATGCTCAGGTTTTAGGCTCGATCCCCAATAGGGGGCTTGCAGGAGGCAGCTGATCAATGATGATTCTCCCTCACCATTGATGTTTCTAACTTTCCCTCTCTCTTTTTGAAATATGTATTTGTGTGTGTGTGTGTGTGTGTGTGTGTGTGTGTGTGTGTATCTATGTGTGTTTAAGATAGGTTCTTATTTTATTTATTTTTAAAATATATTTTATTGATTTTTTACAGAGAGGAAGGGAGAGGGATAGAAAGTTAGAAACATCAGTGAGCGAGAGACATTGATCAGCTGCCTCTTGCCCACCCCCTACTGGGGATGTGCCCGCAACCACGGTACATGCCCTTGACCGGAATCGAACCTGGGACCTTTCAGTCCGCAGGCCGACGCTCTATCCATTGAGCCAAACCGGCTATGACTAGGTTCTTATTTTAGAAAAATATTTGGTGTTGGAAGTTTTTCCTTCTTGCTGTTTGTTGCTCCTTAGTCTCAGTGACCCTCTCTACCCACTAATATTCATGTCATGTGTCTCAGAAGGTTCAGGGTGGAGAAGGGTAGTAGATAAGATATATTCATATTTCAGCAACCAAATGAAAAATATCAATACATAAAACAAAAAGAAAAACATTTTTTTCAATTAGCATCACATAAAATAAACACTAAAAACATTAAGATTACAGTAAATGTCCTTTATCTCATAAAATATATGACAAATTTAATAGAAACAGAAAATAAAGTTGCTTATTAGGGCATTAGAACTTTTTTCTGCCCATGTTCCTTTAAAATTCTTCAGCTTCACCAACTTTTGTCACCTCTTTCTCTCATGTAACCTCCAATCCCCTCTACAAATGCAGATGCCCTTGAGGTCTTATTTGGGGATACCACAGCTTAAACATTGCAGAATTTCATGAAAACTTCATTATCAGTAGACATTGTATTTTATATTGATGAATTTACAGCCATGCAACTATTG